GTTTACGTAATTGAGTGGATGGTGTAGCCAATAACCAAAATAGGGAATTTAGGAGGAAGAGAAGGTTTGAGTGGGTTGATGTAGGGGTTTTCTTCAGTTTGGGACATGTTACTTGGTATGGCTGTGTAATTTCAGGTAGAAGATAACTAATAAGAGTTGGATATGTAATAATAACAACATCTAAAATATTTTATAATACTAATTATGTGCTATGCATTGTTCTTAGTGCTTTACACCTGTTACTTTATTTGACCCTCATAGCAACATTCTGAAGTAGGTACCACTATTTTCCCCATTGTAAAGATTAGGAAACTGGCACAGATGCCTTAACTTACCTAAGGTCACATGGCTAGGAAGTTGTGCAAGTAGGATATGGGTTTTGGCCTTGGAGGCATAGGAAGTGTCCCAAGAAAATGTGATTGGAATAGGGTTCCAGGAAAAGTGCTGTTAATGTGCTAGGCATTGTCAAGACAGACCAAGCCTTTGTTTTCATGGAGTTGATAGCCTAGTGAGTCATACACATTTGGGGGTAGCAAAACACGCAAGTGAAAATGAGAAGAAAGCCAAAGGTAAAATCTTGAGGATCACTAATATTTATGGGGTGAAGAGAAGATAAAGTTTCAGGAAAAAGATGCAGATGAAAGTGTAGTTGAAGGTAAAGAAGAAAGTCAGGAGTGAGTGAAGGTTTGGAAACTATTATAAAGAGGGAGTATTGAGGAGAGAGTATTGTCTGAAAGGTCCAGAAAGATAAGGAGTGAAGCTGTCTAGTGGTATCGATCACTGACAGATCTTTGATGTCTTTGATGACCCCAGAAAAAGTATCCTCTTACAAAGCTAGGTGGAAACAAATTGCAGTGATTAACAAGAAGTTTGAAAGCAGGACCAAAAAGAAGAGAGACTGGAGTAATGGATATAAGTTAAGAGTTCTGCAGCAATTTAAGCGAGATAAAATACTATAATTGAAGTAAAGCAGTGGTCCAAACTTGTAACACTGGAATACCCTCAGAGTGAAAGCCAATCAGAGCGACAGCAGTGTAAAGGGGAGAATTAAAGGCACAAAGACATTTTTAGGAAAGAATCAATATGACTTGGTGATAAAGCAATAATCTAAAATAATTCTACTTTTTTCTTTTTTTGTAAATAGAAACGGGATCTCACTATGTTGTTCAGGCTGGTCCCAAATTCCTGGGCTCAAGTGATTCCCCACCCTTGGCCTTCCAAAGTGCCCAGGCTAAATGGTTCCAGGTTTCTGGGAGAGTGGTAGTGCCAGTATCAGAGATAAGAAGTTAAATATATCGAGTTTGGCATGACAGTGGGACACCCAGCAGGCAGTTTAGTAAAAGTTGGAAATTCACAATGTAATTGTTGGAATGTTTACCAGCATTAGCCTTTGTTCGGTGCCACAAGCATTCTCCTCTAGTATTACTTGTCTAGTACACTGTATGTGTATGATCATTTGCTTACAAGCTGAATTTCCCATTACTAAAACTTGAGGATAACTTCATACTGGTAATATCAAAACTGTATTGTTTCTGAGGAAATAATGCTATTAAAATAATTACAGCTTTCAAGTGGATGTTTGCATGTTCATGGAGTGACCATGATATTTATATATATTTTTTACTTAATAGTTATATATCAATTATTATATGCCAGGTATATTGTTACAATTGCTTTACAAATATTAACTAATTTAAATGTAATCATCAGGGCCGGGCGTGTGGCTCACGCCTATAATCCCAGCACCTTTTGGGAGGCCGAGGCGGGTGGATCACGAGGTCAAGAGATCGAGACCATCCTGGTCAACAAGGTGAAACCCCGTCTCCACTAATAATACAGAAAAATTAGCTGGGCATGGTAGTGCGTGCCTGTAGTCCCAGCTACTTGGGAGGCTGAGGCAGGAGAATTGCTTGAACCCAGGAGGCGGAGGTTGCGGTGAGCCGAGATCGTGCCATTGCACTCCAGTCTGGGTAACAACAGTGAAACTCTGTCTCAAAAAAAAAAAAAAAAAAAAAAATGTAATCATCAAAACAATCTGCTGAGGTAAATATTTTTTGTCATTTTATAAAAGAAATATTGTGGCCAGGTGCAGTGGCCCATACCTGTAATCCCAGCACTTTGTGGGGCCAAGGTGGGCAGATCACTTGAGCCCAGAAGTTTGAAACCAGCCTGAGCAACATGGTGAAACCCCGTCTCTCCAAAAAATAAAATAAATTAGCCCGGCGTGGGACCGCCCGGACCTGTAGTCCCAGCTACCTGGGAGGTTGAGGGGGAGGAAAACCTCAGCCCTGGAGGTTGAGGCTACGTGGTTGTACCACCACTGCATCCCAGCCTGGGTGAGAGAGTGAGTCCGTGTCTCAAAACAAAACAAAACAACAACAACAACAACAAAACATAGAACAAAGAAAAGAAAAGGAAAATATTGAAGTTAGAAGGCAAAAAACTTGGTCAAAGTCACACAGTTTATGGATGGCAGCGCTAAGGGTCAAACCCAGGCAGTCTTTGTTAGCAGAGATGCAGACCTTATACTTTAACATTTCATCAGTTCCATACATTTGCAAAATATCAGTAATGAAGTAAGTTAAAATAGTGGTCCAAACACTGGAGTACCATTTATTATGATGCTGGTATGTAATGCCATTTGTACTTTACAAATAAAAAAAAATACAGTATTTCTTTTTTTTTTTGAGATAAGGTCTGTGTTACCCAGGCTGGAATGCAGTAGCGTGATTACAGCTCACTGTAACCTCAACCTCCAGGGTTCAAGCAGTCGACCCACCTCAGCCTTCCCAGTAGCTGGGACTACAGGTGCACACCACTGCCCTGGCTATTTATTTTTTTATTTGTAATTAATTAATTAATTACTTTTTTTGAGACAGAGTTGTGCTCTGTTGCCCAGGCTAGAGGGCAGCAGCTCCATCCTGGCTCATTGCAACCTCTGTCCTCCCAGGTTCAAGCAATTCTCCTGCCTCAGCCTGGGGAGTAGCTGGGATTACTTGCCTCAGCCTCCAGAGTTGCTGGGATTACAGGCGCACTCCACCATGTGCAGCTAATTTTTGTATTGTTAGTAGACTAAAATATCATGTTGGCCAGGCTGGTCTCAAATTCCTGACCTCAAGTGATCTGCCAGCCTTGGCCTCCTAAACTGTTGGGATTACAGGTGTGAGCCACCGTGCTTGGTCCCCCCACCCCCCCCAAAAAATGCAGTCTTGGCTGGCTGCAGTGGCTCACGCCTGTAATCCCAGCACTTTGGGAGGCCGAGGTGGGTGGATCATGAGGTCAGGAAATCGAGACCATCCTGGCCAACATGGTGAAACCCCATCTCTACCAAAATACAAACAATTATCTGGGCGTGGTAGCTAGTGCTGGTAGTCCCAGCTACTCGGGAGGCTGAGGCAGCGGAATAGCTTGGACCCAGGAGGCAGAGGTTGCAGTGAGCCGAATCGGGTCACTGCACTCTAGCCTGGGCGACAGAGCAAGACTCTGTGTCAAACAACAAAACAACAACAAAAACAGTCTTAAATGTAAGTTTCAATAATCACGTTGGTAATGCAAATTATGGTTTTGGAGTCTTTTTTCCAGTTGGATTTTAAGGGAAAATGCCATTTGTCTCTAATCACTGGAATTCATTATAAAAATACTGTGCAGCAGAAAACATGCTACAAGCTGGTTTAAGAGCTAGAAAATAAAAATATCATTTGTTGACAGTGCTACCACGAGAGATTAGTAAAAAGCACAGGTGATATGCAATGTAATTTCTGCAGTTAACTGTTTCCTAAGTCTCGATCTTTTAACGAAGGAAATAAAAAACCATTCGTGAAATTCTGCCATCCTCTGATGATTCCACATATCTCATATAGGACACAATTATGATGGTTTTGAAACGTCTGTTTTGAGCTTATTAATGTTGGAGTAAAACTGGAATCATTCATTTCTCAAACTGAGAAAGAATACTCTTGATTTATGTTAATGATAATAAACAATATAAAATATACAAGGTAACAGTCCAGGAATTCTGGTTTATTATAGTATTAATAATGTTAAGGCCGAGCCTGGTGGCTCACGCCTGCAGTCCCAGCACTTTGGGAGGCCGAGGCGGGAGGATCACTTGAGCCCGGAAGTTGGAAGTTGGAAGTTAGCTATGATCACACCACTGTACATCAGCCTGGGCGAGACAGCAAAGACCTTATCTTTAGAAAACAAAACAAAACAATTTACACACACACTTCCTAATTCAGCCTACTCAAGCATGATGCGAAATTGATGAAGAATATCTAATTAAATGTCATAAAAAATTCAAGTTCATGACATGCAATTTTTTTTTTAAAGACGGGGTTTCACCCTGTTGGTCAGGCTGGTCTTGAATTCCCGACCTTAGGTGATCCACCCGCCTTGGCCTCCAAAGTGATGACATGCAATTTTAAAGACTCAAAATGAGTTACCAGAAAACATAATACAAGCTTTAAGAAGTTGGGAGAAGATGTACAAGGATTCGCTTCAGACATGTGACAGAAGGGAAAGAGGACATTTTCTGGACCGGAGATTCAAGACTGTCTAATTCAGACTTTGTGCTTTTGCAAAGGCTAAGGCCTTAGTCTGTGACATAAATTTGTAAAGAGCTCGGAAAAGTACATCTCGGACATGGAGTCTTTTCTTCCCGCCGCTTGATGGTCTGCATTTATGTTCCGATCACTGGGGCTGTGGCTGCTATAATTACTGCTCGTTGGGACTTTGCTTTTGTTTACTTCGTAGCTGTGTTGCACCAGGAGAGGCAGAAAAAGAAGAAACAGAACCTCTGTTACTCGTGACGTTAAGAAGTGGAAAGCAGCCCCGCTTACATCTTTCACGGTCCATTTTAGCCCGAGCGACGGTCCTCAGCAGCTGTAACACGTAGCGGAGCACTACCGCCGCGTAGGAGCGATCCCGCCCCGGGGCGGAACCAGGACAAACCCCGCCTCCCAAGCCCAATCCCAGCTCTCAGCCGGCGGACAGGAAGCGGCGGCAGGCCTAGCAGCACGGGAACCGTCCCCTGCGCGCATGCGCGCGCCCCTGAAGCGCCCAGGGGACGGATATGGGCGGGAGGAAGGGGCGCGGCTTCGCGTGCCTGTTGGGTGTCCGCGCGTCACGTGATGAGGAAGGAGGCGGAGGTCCGAGTTTCGAGGGAGGGGGAAGAGAAGAGAGAACGAGCGAGGGAAGGAAAGCGGGGAAGGGAGGAAGGAAACGAACGAGGGGGAGGGAGGTCCCTGTTTTGGAGGAGCTAGGAGCGTTGCCGGCCCCTGAAGTGGAGCGAGAGGGAGGTGCTTCGCCGTTTCTCCTGCCAGGGGAGGTCCCGGCTTCCCCTGGAGGCTCCGGACCAAGCCCCTTCAGCTTCTCCCTCCGGATCGATGTGCTGCTGTTAACCCGTGAGGAGGCGGCGGCAGCGGAAGATGGTGTTGCTGAGAGTGTTAATTCTGCTCCTCTCCTGGGCGGCGGGGATGGGAGGTGAGGCACGACTGCGCGCGCCTGGGGCGCCGCTATCACGGCGGAGCAGCGGCCGGGCCGAGCCGAGCCCAGTCGCGCCTCGCGGCGGGAGCGTCAGTCAGCCCAGCCGGCCAGCGGCGCCACTCTGGCGGGCCGCGCTCCCCGCTCCCTATTGTCCCCCGCGCCACGACCGCGTTCCCTTCGGTGGCGTGCCGAGGAAGCTCCCGAGCCTCTGGCGAGGCCTTCCCCAACCCCCACTGCCCTAGCGGCCCTGGAGGCGGGGGTCGCCTCCCAGAGAAGCGAAGTCGGGGCATCCCGGTCGCCTGGCGAGAGCGGTAGAACCCAGGCCGGTGGCTGCATCCCTCCAGTCTGCTCGGCGGGCGCCGGTGCAGGCAGCCGCAGTGGGGCTGGCAGTCTCGCCGTCCTCGTTCAGCGCTCATCCGGCTCACCGTTCTTCCCCCAGCCCCTGCCCCGTGGCGGATTCCGAGGTCCTCTCCGCCGCCGAGACCCGCCGCTCAGACTCGTGGGAAGTTGTGGTGTTTGCGGCTGGGCTCGTGTATTGTTCTTTACCGGGCGCGTCGATCCTGACCGACCCCATTCTGCAGAGGGGCCGCCCGTGGAGTGGCAGCAGTCATCACCCGCTTGTCTGAGACGAGTGGCCTCGGTTCTCCCTGTGTCCTGTGTTTGGAGAGAGATCACAGGAGGGTGTGTTGGTATTCAGTGAAAACGTTCTGTAGCCCAGGGGAAAGGGTTTGGTCGGGAGAAGGGGAAACCGTTTGGGGATGTTTTTTGATTTGTAGACTGGATTGGGTCTCCTAGAGTAGAAGTTCGTTCGGTCCCTGGGTGACCCAACTTGAAGAGTTTACTTAAACTCTCAGGTGGAGTAGACGTGCAGTGTAGTTTGTGGATTGTCAAAACAGTGCCCCCTCCACCCTACAAGTGAAAGTTAAATTTGCTAAAAGCATATAATTTATTGATTCTGGATTTGAAGGCAATGATTTTTATTTCCGGTGTATCCTAGGACCAGCTGCTTCGTTTTCTTCTTGTGTAAAGTGCTTTATTTTAGGTAAGCTTTTTGACTTGCCCCAAAGTAAACTTAAAAACCTCAAGGTGTGTCTAAAAGCAGCGAATTGAAAAGATTTGAGGAATGCTTTGGATGAGTGTCTCTAGACTTTTATGATTAAGAAAATATCTGACTTTCATGAATTGGGTTGTTTCTGTTTTTTTCTTTGTCAGTTTGACTTAAGACTGCAGGGCCAAGTGTAATTCTGTCCTGTATTCTACCGAGTCTGAGGGTGGTACTGTGTAGGCAGACTTCTGTTATAGTTTGTAGTGTTCATTTTTTTGATATGCATTTTATTTTTTCAATCCAAGTCATCAGGTAGACAAATTTTAGATTAAGAGCTGATAATAGATGTTTAGCTTTAAAAAGGATTATGTGCCGGAGACCCTCTGTTAGAGCCTTTTCATCTGACATTTATTATTTCTGTTCTAAACGTGGCTACCAACAAGTCATTATCCTGTCTATTTTCACTTTTTGTGAATAAATTCAGAAGTTAAGACATAGTTATCTGTAAGGTAATAAAAAGTAAGAAACATATGAGGCATTTCACTGAGTAGTAGTATACTAAATATTCTTTTAAAAATAATGAAAACAGCAAACAGAAGTGATGTAGTCTGATGTTTGAAGAAAAAACAATCGAATAACATAATGTTTGTGGGTTAAAGCCCTTATACAAAAATTTTAACTCAGATTTCCGGAGTCCTTTATTGCATTAAGCGTTGATTAAAAGGCTACTTTTTGGTGTTTCTGTTTAGCAGAACTTTTTCAAAAAATGTACAAAAATAAAGTATTTTAAGATTAGTATCAAGATTCTAGCTTTTGGGTACTTAGAGATATTTGTAATTTTATTGTAATTATGGGGCATTTTTCGTCTACTAGTCTGAGCTATTTTTGGTCATTTGTAGGATCTTTATATGATGATTTGTAGACATCAGCACATTCAAATTGAATATATATTTGCTTTTGCTTATGAGAGAGTGAAGAAATTTGTGTAGATTCGAAGTTGTAGTGGAAATTTAAAGAATAAATTGTTTTCGGAGAGTTAATAAACCCTTTTTGTTGCTTCCACTTCTCCAATTTGTCAGTCATTTTGTATTTGAAATTTTTCTTTACATATTACTAGGAAGCAGCTGGAAGGAAGAGTTAAAGTGTTTAACATAAACTTTCCTAATGGTGTCCATAGCACAGTCCCATACTATGTTGTAGTTGTAGGCGGATACCATATTTTTTTATTTTTATTTTTTAATTAATTGGTGTGTTTGAGAGGACAAGGTATTTCAGCTGTAGCAGTAAATTAATTCCATAGTGTTTTGGTTTGATGGAATCATATACGAAATGAACTTTGGAGTATGATGCATCTTTTATATTTAAAAATCTGTTGTAAGTGCTTACCTTTGTACCATACACTCAATATAAATAAGTTTCCTGGAAACTTGACCAGAAGCTTTAAAAGTAGTAGAGCTTGTAATCCCAGCACTTTGGGAGGCCGAGGCGGGTGGATCACGAGGTCAAGAGATCGAGACCATCCCGGTCAACATGGTGAAACCCCGTCTCTATTAAAAATACAAAAAATTAGCTGGGGATGGTGGTGCGTGCCTGTAATCCCAGCTACTCAGGAAGCTGAGGCAGGAGAATTGCCTGAACCCAGGAGGCGGAGGTTGCGGTGAGCCGAGATCGCGCCATTGCACT